GCGGTAGCCACACTGGAACTCGAACTCGAACTGATCGATACGCACTGTGCATCCACTTATATAGCTGCAGTGCTTGCCTGTGGCGTAATGAGTGCCACGTCACAGTAGGACGTTGATTACGGTTACGTTAGCGTGGCGCGTTACGTCACCGCGTGACGTCGCCGCGGAGGGGAGTGGGAGGGAGCGCTTCGTTACCGCCACGCACCTGTGGCCTGAGTCGCCACGTAGCGACATGTTACAATATATATATATATATATTGAACCCTCGGCAATCCGGATTAATCTGGGAGGTAGAAGTCATCCGGATTAAGCAGAAATCTGAATTAGTGAAGTAAAAGTAACCCTGAAAGAAAAAAAAAAAAAGAACAGAAATAAATGGAAAGTGTAATGATTACCCGACATCCGGATTATCTTTAACCGAATTAGTGAGGATTTATATAAAACCGCCGAGCTATAATCCATTAGGCATCTGTTTCAGTGTTGTCTTGAGAAGGTTCATTCAATTAAAATGTTTCCCAATTATTGGCCGAGGTTTCCATTTGTCTTCTGACAGAAACTCTGGCGATCAGAATGCTAAACGTTCGCTTGGAAATGCGAGCAGACCTTCTCGCGGCGGAGGGGGACAAGCTCTTCAGATGGCCGGCCGAGGTTTCTCAACTGAAGAGCTCTCGAAACGGGCGAACCTGAGACGGAGCGCCACTTGAGGATGGAACAAAAGCATCACGCCTTTCGCAGCGCTGGCGTTGCTAGGCAACATTAACATAAAAGTATCGTAAACTGACATGAAATGATATTAAGTATGATTAATTTCAAACACTTAAAACTTGGTCTCTCAGACTGTAGGTCTGATTCCAGACGTACTATAAACAGAGCACTATCTTCTGGGATATAACACCGAATAGTCCGTTGAAAGTCAGCCGCTGGATGGTCAAGTCCCCGTCAGGTCCGCACAAAACTGGATGGTCCCGTTATACCCCAGGCACTGGGTTCCCTTTTCGTCTCCTCCTACGACTCGCAGGGCTACGGTGGAGGTACGCGAATCCGTCTCCACATGGGACCCTGATCTACTAGTCCTTGTTATATAGCCCCGGAACGGACCGCACAGAAAACCTCTGTTCTATTACTGTGTGTTCTCTCGTTGCCGAAGGAAACGTGTCCACAGAGCTGTTCCCTAGCAATGGTTGTTGTGTTATTGCGTGTTTACGTAGCTGTTACTTGACAATGGGTCTACATGTTACAATACCGACGTTTCGGAGCAACCTATCAGCTTCCTATTCTTCTTCTGAGTGAAGGTGTAAGGAGCACATTCCTCCGAAACCTTTGCGTCTAACACATGTCTGACGGTTGCATCATCGGATAGTGATGTAAATCGTTACGTCACCATTGTATAGTTACTAGTTTCTGTTTTCAGCACGCGATGGAAACCACAATCGTTCAATCTCGTTCAACAAGCGCGATTATTGCTATTGGTAATACTTCCTATATACCTATTACGTAGTACTCACAAGCTTGTCTTAGACCAACTATACCAAACAGCACGGTATCACATCCCAGAGACAATAATCTTCATAGTTACCGTACTGAGGACTTCAGCTTTCATGTGTCATATTGATTTTACTGTGCCACGATACATTAAGTTGAGTATCCTAAATTGAAATACACGTACTATTAGTGGAGCGTGTCTATTTGCAGGTTTTCAATATACCCGCATGTAACGCTCCGGAAACCTGCAAGTTACTCCTCTCCGCCTCCTCGTGCGCTGAAACTTTGTCCATTGGAACGCAGTCATCCATCTTGTTCTGTCGATAACGTAGAAAATGGCTGAGTCTATTCGGTTGGCGGAAGGAGAATAATTTTACTCCTAAATTATAAAGAAAGTGGCTTTTACTTTCCAGCTTAAACCTGAGTCATCGGAAACAGACAGATCTTTGCCAACGTGTATAGTAAAACCTCTCTAATCCGGAGTATTGTGGGTGAGGTGAACTGGATTAAGAGATTATCCGGTTTAATAACACAAAAGTAGCCCTAAAAGATAAAAAACTTATAATACAAATAAATGTAATTATATAAGTAGTGCTGGTGCAAATAACAAAATATCATTGTAGAGTTTTCATTTAAAAAACAATAAAAAGCAACAGGTATCTCATTGATAGAAGACTCAGAAGTTGTACTTGTTTCTGAACGTAACAATGCAGGCCGGAAGAAACTGTCCCAAGTTTTGTCTGAACAGACAATTAACTCGTCTGCCTTCCTAAATGTCATGTGCCTCTCAATGTGGGTACTCAACTGTGAACAGCATTTTTCATATTTCGACCCGGATTGTCCGACATCCGGAGTAACTGTAACCGGATTATCGAGGGTTTAGTGCATATGTATATATGTATATATACTTTTTTTTTTTAATGAGATGGGAAATGACTCTTTATCACATGTAAATTATTGACAAAGAAGTAGACCGAGTTGG